GCAGAGAGGGCGGAGCGAGGGGGAGGAGGCGGGAGACGCAGGTGACGGGAGTGGGAAGCAGTTCGGCTTCCTGGCTTGCTCGCTCGGACTTGCGGGCTGGGACTGTAGGATTACCTGTCCCGAGCGGCGACCTGCCCTTCTCCACGTGCCCGCGGTCGCAGCATGCCTCCCAGGATCCCAGGACCTCCGGCCAGGTTGGCTTAGAGAAGACGCGGCCTCCACGCGTGGGCTCCGGGCTCATTAGCCCGCAACTCCATCGGTGGGAAACGGCCGGGCTGAGCCGCGGGGAGCAGCCAGCTAGAGCCTTGTAGGCCTTCGGGCCCGGCCCTGGAGGAGGATGAGCTGGCTCTTTCCGCTGACCAAGAGCGCCTCCTCCTCCGCAGCTGGGACCCCCAGTGGCCTCACCAGCCTTCAGCAGCAGAAGCAGCGTCTGATCGAATCTCTACGGAACTCTCACTCCAGGTGACTGGCCGATGCATCGGACGGGAAGAAGTAGGCCGGGGGCGGGGGTGGTGGTGGGGGTAGGGCTGTCCCTAAACACCCGGGCAGCTTCTCCAGCTTGATTCCCTGTCAACCACCTCGCTTGGATACACCTCCCTCCTAGCCTTCCTTAATCCATGTTTACAACTTGCCTCCGGACCCTCCCTTTTCTCCTGCCCCACCACTGTCGGGTTCTTCTCATTCTGACTCATCCTTCCTGACAATTCTCTCAGCCCGACATCTCCCGATAGCGCAGTCCGTTTCCCAAATCACTTGTCCTCACCTGATTGCCGCCTTGGCAGAATTGTTAAGTACTGCAGTTGGCCAAACAGAAGCGTGAAGTTTCACTAAGAGTGCCAAAGAATAAATTGGTGCAATAGCAAAGGAAAGGGCAGCCACATTTTTCATCTGTCAGTTTTCCTAATCTGGGAGTGATAGCACAATTGAGTCTCTTTAATAAAGTTTATCATCCAACAACTTCCTTCCCATCTGGCAACAGTAACTGGTTTTGTATACATCTCTTAATATACTTGCCCGCACTCTCAGGTATTGCTTTATATTCAGCCTGGTCGTCTGGCTGTCTTCCTATGGTCAGATGAACAATATTTTTCTATTTAATTTACTTAAACCGTTTTTACAATAAACTGGCTTCCTGCAGCCTTTTGTATTGCAAGTGTCTATAACTTCGAATGATTTTCTAAAAATTACAACGGCCTCTTTACATTCTGTCTGTGAAGCAAGCATATATTTGTAAATTGCATAGCATGTATTTTCATGTAAGGATATCAACCCTGTATCCAACCCTATTTCTCTATTACAACGACCTTTTCAGATATGAGGCAGCTTCCAAAAGTTCTGGGGAAAATTGAATGAAAAGCTATTTCAAAGCTTCTTCGTGTCTTCTGCTGTAAAGATGTACTGTCTGGGAACCCACAGCTTGAGTCCAAAGGGACTGGCTGGCTGTGAGTTTGTGAGTCATATATGCTGAGATAATAAAGTTGAGCAACTCCTGTTGAAGCCATTGTTATTGGTGAGCAAACCATTAGGAGCCATTTCATGTTACGCTTTACAAACGCTTTCCAATCAGATAAATTATATATAATCTAGTTTAAAACCAGATATATTTTTGAAAGAAAATTTCATCACAAAATCATTTTGGTTAAAAAGAAGTCCATTGACTGAACTGAATGTGTTTTGGCTGTCTATTGTTTTTTGCTTGTTCAGAACTTTCAAGAGGAGAAAATGTATAGTATTTAACAAAAGAGTGGCAGGCCTTTTTTTATTGGTAGCCTTTTTGTAAACTTAAGTTTTCAAAGTTCTTAAAGGTCCATCTATAATTCAAGGTCTGTATTGCCTATAAGGGCTACTCTTAGAAGAAATGATTATAAATAAAAGGAAGTCTTTTCAACAAATGTAACAAAAGTGTGTCCCCTTGAAAGTTACCACCTTGGAAATAGATACTATACCATTGCCCAAATGTCTTTTAGAACCATGCCTTTGGAACTAGTTGTGCAGAATATTCTGTCATTTCACTGCCAACTCATAAAAACCCTATAGCACAAGCAGATCTGCCCCTGTGGGTTTCTGAGACTCTGAGTTTTGACAGGAGTAAAAAGCCTCATCTTTCTCCCACAGACTGGCTGGTGGTTTGTAATTGCTGGCCTGTTAGCAGCACAACACATAACCCTGTACACCTCCAGGGCTCCTTTTCTTTGGGATAATCAGTTAAATATTCTCAGTGCTGACAAATTTTTATTCTTTGAGGTTAGTGTTGAATATCTGAAGTGCCTTCCCAAAGTCCCTTACTGCTATCGCTGATAAAATGATTCCTGTGAAATTTATTGTGCCTCCCTGAAAAATGAGTTTCTAAAGCAGGAATTCTTAATTGAAGGAGTCCTGGAATTAGTTTTAAGAGGATCAGAGGATACCCAGAATTGAAGCCACAGTGTGTTTTATATTTTGACCCAGATATTACACTTGTAATTGGATGTGTGACATTATCTACATATGTTGAAGTGTTTTGAATATGTAGCTTATTTTCTTTAAGTTCTTTAATTCAGTACTTAAAATTTAATTTAAATTTTTAGCATTTACAAATTATACTTGGATTATACTGGTGACATTTCAGTAGGTCTGGAGGTTGAGATTTTTTGGAATGGTACTGTGCCAGGGAAAAAGAGCTACCCACCTGTTCTTGTTAAGTCTGCCCTTGTACCTAATGACATACATTTTTAAATGATCTATGAAGGGGCTTCAAAAACTCATGGGAAAATGAGTTAAAAGATGATGGGATTTTTCCATGAACTTTTTGAAGCACCCTATTGTCAGTGCAATATGTTGTTTGAGTAGCTAAATTCATTATGGTAACTTACACACTTGATTGGCCATTTAAAAGGTAGAAAGAATCTTTCAACTGGATTTTGATGAACAATACAAAAACTTTTAAAATTGTGAATGTCAGTAGACCCTTGTGTGCTGCCCACCAACGTCTCGTTTTGTACTTAGGCCTTTCTCCAAATATAAGGTCAACCCCTTTTTCCTGGCAATCGCAGCATCTGATTTCTTGTGCCTTTTTCAGTAACTTCCCACCCACGTCACCCTTCTTTCTTCCAGCACTTGCCTTCATAAACTCTTTATAAATCGAAGGATTCAAGTTTAGGAAGTAGTTTACTTCGTTTTCTCTATGATATAAACTTTTCTTTTAGTTACCATGAGAAATCTTTATTTCCGTATCCCCCTCAGGCCTTTCTCCTCAAGGCTAGCTGAACGTTATATCTCTCTTTGAAGTCTTTTTTTTTTTTTTTTTATTTTCCTCTA